ATATTCAGGAATTGTAAGTTTAGGAATGAGTCTACTTATATATATTGCTTCAGGATGCATTTCATTTGGATCATATTGAATAAAATTCTTGTTTGCTTTAATTTGTTCTCTTACTTGTTTTCTTATTTCATCATCATAAGAAAGATATTTATTAAGTTGAGATTTCAATTCTTCAGCAGTTGGACGATTGAGAGGTTCAAAATTCTAGCATTTTTCCATTATTTCTTTGAGAAATTGAGGAATTTTGCACTTAATTTCAGTTTAAGCCCATTGCAAATTTTCATTACAAGATTTGCATCATGCGAAATATTATAATATGTTGGATAACTAGTTAGAAGTTCTAACATAACCATGCCAAAAGAATAGATGTCAGATGCTTGAGTGTATTCTCCTCTACTCAATGTCTCAGGTGCCATGAATGGAATTACACCATAAATTTTTTCTGGATCATTTTCTGTAACTGGTTTGCACAGTCCAAAATCTGTATTATAACTGTGAATTAAAGTTTGATTAACTATATACCAGAATGAAAATCTTTATGCATTAAGCCTATTTCATGGATATTTACAGTATAAGTCCATTTACAATTATTACTAAAATATCATATTTGATTTTCCAAGTTAATTCTTTAAACTTTTTATCCAACAGGTTCCGAAGACTACCAAATTTTGCATACTTCATAACTATCATATATTCATTTTTAGTTAGATTTTTAGTAATTCCATATAAAGCAATTCCATTTTTACCTCGAAACTTAAGTTGATCTTTAATCTAAATATTTATTAATATAAATAAAATATAATTATTATATGATTAAAATAATGTAAATATGAAATAATGTGAAATATTTACCTCTTGCAAAAATTCATTTTTATTTGTGGAATTATCAAGACTTTTTAAGCAAACATCTTGTTTCGGGAACCTTTTCCAATTTTCTACCTTATAATCCCAACAATAAATAGGTCCATCTAGCCATTTTTCTTTGTATACTGTGCTAAAACCCCCCTTTAGCAAGGTATGTGACATTCTTAAGCCTGTAAAATGGAATCCACTCAATAAATTTTTGATGTAGATTTGCATTTAGTTGTATTTGTTGAATAAATTCATCAATATTCCTATCTTCACTTGTCCATTTGTCAAATTCATTTTGAAATCGTTTGACATTACACGGATGGCACCAATATTTTCCAGTATTGTCTTGATGACATTCACTACACTTTTCAAAAACACTGAAAAATATTTTTGATAATTAATTAAAGAATTATTATATGACATTGTAACATTGGTTTCAATAATTATGAATCTAAATACTCACTCACTGTAATATAATTTATATTGATTAGTTTATAATTGATTAGAGAATTTTTATATGATATTGAAAACATTGATTTCAATAATTATGAATCTAGATACTTACATGCTGTAATATAATTTGTTTATAATTGATTAGAGAATTGTTATATGATATTGAAAACATTGATTTCAATAATTATGAATCTAAATACTTACGAACTGTAATATAATTTATATTGATTAGTTTATAATTATAATTGATTAGAGAATTGTTATATGATATTGAAAATATTGATTTCAATAATTATGAATCGAAATACTCACAAACTGTGTAATATAATTTATGTTGATAATTGATTAAAGTTATGATATTGAATTAAATTGAAACATTGATTTCAATAATTATGAATCTAAATACTCACACACTGTAATATAATTTATATTGATTAGTTTATAATTGATTAGAGAATTGTTATATGATATTGAAACATTGATTTCGATAATTATGAATCTAAATACGCACTCACTGTAATATAATTTATAATTGATTAGAAACATAATTTAATATATGTAATTTATTATTAGCAATAAATTATGGAACAATGAGCCTACTCCTCTGATTCTTCTGATTCACCTGATTTTTCCAATTCCGAATTTTTTAATTTCTTTAATTGCACCCATTTCTTCTCTTAAAATCTAAAAAAAAAATAAAATTTTAAATCATGTGTGGAATACGCCTTTTGAATTTCAAATTGATTATATAAATTGATAAATTGATTATTAATCGTAGAAGATCCGGAAAATTTTCCTTTGATTAGTACTTTTTTTGATCCGTTTTGTTTTTGCTTTTTTTCCTTTTTAACCCACTTTAAATTTGCACTTGTACTCATGTATTTATCATTAAGTAGCCTTTGTTATCTATTAAAAGTTGTAAATAATTATTTTTCTTTGTTGCTGTTTCTTTTTTTTTATCCATGAAAATGGCATTTCATTATCATCAATGAATACTAACAATCGCGACCTATGCCGTCTTTTGTTCGGAAAAAAACAAAGTTAGTCTCTATGTGCATCTATTTTCTAATTATTATTATTATTATTATTACAATGAAATATAATATAGATATTATAAGTTTGAAACCACATAGCATTTGCATTTCACTGACTATTATTATTATTATTATTTCTTAATTCAATAATACTGTTGAAATCGCGTGTCCGCCTGTGACCCTAAATTCAAACTTGTCAATTACATAAAAAGGTTAAATTTTGTGATGTTATTGTAGTTGGATCGGTCACAGATACCTATGACAGAAGATGCCAGTTATAAAGAAAGGAGACGAGGAGATTTATTGGAGAAACCCGCAAAAAATCAATTATAACATGTCGCGATAGGTATTAAATATATTTATTATATATCATTATAGGTTAATCTAAACGTATATGATCAAAGAAAGAGGTTTTCACAAAAAGAGATGCAATTTCTAATTTGAATGTCAAATTTAAAATTTTTATGCGTCCATTTCTTTTTTTAAGATTTATATCTTATATTTTCAAATATCATGTTATTTTTTGAAAAGAATTTTCTAACATAGTTTGAAAATAAATATTATATAAGTCCCTGGAAATGACATTCGAACTTTTTAAATTATACACAAATCAAAATTGGGCTCTTGGAAATATGGTAAAAGAAAACGAAATATTTAATGGTTCTAATGATATGCTAATTCGTATAAGTGATGTGGATAACTCAATAAAAGATTAATGCAAATATGAACAAAAAAAAATACTAAATATTAAAATCCATTCCTTGCTAAAGTAAAGAACAATAAACGATAATTAACGATAATTATATAAATTATTATTATTTTTACCAATTAATATTTTCTCTTTGCAACTTATATTATAAAAAATTACGAATTGTCAATTGGAATTACTATTTACTAAAATTATTGCTATTGCCTCCAAAACCATTTTACCATAGGATCAAAAAAATTCCATTTAATGAAACATGGAACTGAACTTCTAAAAAGCTTGAATTACCAAATCTTCATATCTCAATAAAATAAAATTGAAATTGTGCCTGCTTTAATAGTATCTCAAGCGAAAAAAAATACCAAAATAATAATAATCGTAACATTTTTCTTTTGCCACGTTTACTGTATACTTTATCGCAAAGATACTGATTTTATTCATTTTATATTGAGTCTTATTAATAACTAAACGTGTAATTAGCCCATATTTGAAATGTAAATTTTCCTTCTTGACCCAATTTTATCTTAATGCTATTCAAAATAATAATCTCTTTGAATCTAGAGTATTTATATTTATTATAAATGTAGCTCACTAAGAATATTTTATTCTGAATTCAAAAAAAAATAAAATAAAAAAAAAATAAAAAAAAGTTAATATACAAAATAAAATAATATCGTTTAATATATATATTTAATTAAAAAAAAATCAGAAACGAGGAATCCCTGAAATATGTTTTCAACATTCAAAAAATGTTCAGGTTTTTCGATTGTAAAATTCATCATTTTATTTTTTTCTTCGAGAGAATTTATATTCACTTACATAAATTAATATTTCGATCTTGGAAAATTTCTCAAATAAAGCTCATAATAAGTTAGATCTGACTTATGTTAACCAACCTATCTCTCAAGTGTCATGATATCAATTCTTCTTAAAGAAATAAAAATTAAATTAAAAATTACTTTTTCTGAAGAATAATCTGTGATTAAATAACTTTTTAGATGTTAAAATTTGATTGGGAATTGTCACGTTATACAAGCCAACCCTTTTATTCATTGTCAATAAGTCGCACAACAAGCCTTCAATTCAGAGCTTTAAAGTAGAGTCGCACGGTCAGTATATTTAATATAATTGTAATTATTGGAGGAATAAAATTTTTTTTTCTTGATTGATTATTACAATTTTGGTAAAAATTCAACTTGTGTGAATTTTTAATTTGAACAATCCCATTGTAACGAAAATTCAAATTCAGTTAAGGCAAGCAGGGGTGTCGATTATAACGTCACGGGATACTGTTTTAATAAAGACCCATTGTTCGAATTTGGTCACAATAAACCTAAATAAAATAAAATTATTCGGAATAAACAACCGAAGATAAAAATACAACATAACATATTAAAAAACGATAATAATTATGACAATAACAACGTAAGGGGCGTAACAATTAAATATCCCTATGACTTATTCTGTCGACATTTTGTCATTGTATCATCGCCTACCGACTCCTCATTAGTAAATTAAAACAAATTACACAATTGTATTATATTTTCCTATTCTGCAGTCGATGTAAGAAAATGCATCAACATACTTCATCATGCGTCACCATTTATGTTTGACAAGTATCACCTTATATTTCAACCATTATAAGATCGTAAAAATTCGTTTTGCGAAAAAAAACCTTTGTTTTTTTATTTACTATTATTACTTTTTATTTTTTGCACAAAAAAAGACCGAGGTATGTATATCTATTATAAACCATTATTATCTACACTCGTATTGTCTGAACTTCGGTTTGGCACTCTTTACAGTCATTTACCTTTTGCCTCATCTGTCGAGGAAATTTTTTTTTTAAAAAAATATCATTTATATTGAAATATATTAATTAAATTGGAATAACTTTAATATCTTTATATATTTAACATTTCAATGACTTTCTTTTTACATTTATAGAAAAAAAAATGACAGCTGACCAGTTATCTCCTTATGCAGTTTATTATTTTTTCCGTTCGTTCCGGAACTCTCTTCCTGACGAGAATGATTTTGAAGACTTCATCAGTACTTTAACTATTACCCCTATGCATGCAATCATTGAGAATGTCTTACCTTTTTTTCGTCGTTCCGCGGATCCTGGTTTGTTCACAAAATTCCAAGTGATGATGCGTCAATGTGAACAGAATTCTGCTTTCGAGAGTACCCTAATGAGGGTTTGTGACGCTTTGGATATGCTTCAAAGAGTTGAACGAGCATTGAGAAATGATAAACGTTTGATGGATGGCTATTTACGTGCCATGCAATTTGATAATGATTCAGCGAGTCATCAACAAGTTTGGGACGGTCTCCAACGTTTTCTCAACGAAGATTGTGATCCACATACTAAACGAAGAATGGAAAAAGTGTTTGCCGAACAAAAAGCTAGTGATGAACTTGGTATGTTTAACTTTATTATTCAAATTTTTCTGTTCATGCAATTAATATTTGTTTGTATTAATTATATTTATTTATAGTAGTATAATTAATTTAATGTTTATTTTTTTATAATTTATAATTTATTATTTTGACATTTAAAAAAAAAAAAAATTACAGGTCTCAACGATGATGTGCTTTCCGTGGCCTACTCTCTAATTGGTGATGATGCCTTATATATTGAAATTCTTGAAACTCTTCAATTGAACAACCGACAGAATCTTCCATGGGAAGCTGTAATCAAGAGAATTCACCGTGTCACCACAGAGAAAAAACCTCACATTTGGCCAACGTTATGCAAGTTCTTGGATGATGTCCATAACGGTCGTGGTTTGTATTAATTTTATTTGATAATAATACTGATAATAAAGAGATAAAAAAAAAAAAGCAATCCATAGAAAAATACCCGATGACGTTCAAGATTAAAATATTATTTTCTTTTTTTTCCCACTTAAAGTGGACTTTTCGTATTCACCTTACTGGGACGAATATCTTGATGATGAAGAAGTGATTGAACCAGAGAATGAAATCAATATTCTTGAACAAAAATTCTCCAATGTCAATATTGGCACAGAAAATCATGTGGTAAAACCTCAATCACAACAAGAACAACAAAAAGAAGTTGTCGGAACTGTTTGACTTTAGTTTAACGTTTAAAAATCTTAAGGTAATAATATTAAAACGATTAATTCATTTTCCCAATTGAAAATTATCATATAATATCACATCAAATTAACTTATATTTATTCAATAGAGAAAGAATCCTTCTACAAAAAAAAAAAATTCAAAATCTTTAATATAAATATTATACACCCAAAAAAAATTTTTTTGAAATTCGTGTAAATTTAATGAATGATCTTCTTTTCTATTCTTTCTATCCTTTCCCTTTTTTTCCCTTCCGACTTTAAAAAATCTAAAAAAAAAAAAAAAATCTTTTCGATTATTTATTTGCTTCAAATTAAAAAACACTTCTTTTGCCTTTTTTCTTTTCTTTATACATACATATATAAATATACTTAAACAATTGTTTGTAATCGTAAATATATGTAACATAAATTGTAAAATAGCAAAAAAAAATATAAAATATTACGTTGGAATATATAGAATAATAAAGTGGGGGATTCTACGATATAATTTTATACATACACTTTTAAGTGCAATTTTCTCTCCTTTTTAGTTACTCCTTTTGATAATTAACTATATATTATTTAATAAATTTTGTAAATAAAAAAAAATCTTTGACTTTTTAGTTATTGATTTTTTTTTAAAAAAAAATTTATACTGGTTATAATTATATAATAAATAAAACATTATCAAGGATTCCACAAATCAGGAATTTAGATACAAATGATTAAATTAAATAATTTAAGACCCTTCTTTTTAATTCTTTCCTATGTCAGATTGAAAATAATTATTTTTCCATAATGCAATATTGCAGATCACTCGATATGAGTTTTGCAAAATGATCTACAGAAAACTATTTACTAGGTAAACTAACCAATTTACCATTTACTGTATGATTCTAGGATAATTTGTAAATAAAGGTCAATTTAATCAATTTATTATTCAATAAAGGTTTAATATGGGCATAACTCCGATGAAGTTAAAAAAAAAAAAAGTTCTTTTTATTTCAAATTTTCAAGATTCATTCTTTCTAATATTTATGATCATTTTGGTAGTATTGTTTCTTTGGACCTAGCTAATCTCATCTCATACAATTCTAATTTGTTTTCTTGCCTACTGAAATTTTGGATTCTAATTCTATTATCTTTCTCTCATCCAAATTTTTGATGCATATGATCAAAAATTGGATCTACCTATTTTACTATTATAATATATGCATTTAATTATCAAAAGTATTTTGTGTCATAAGAGTGTATAATAAAATTAATTGACATATTGTGAAAATTCATTTTTTTATAATTTATTTTATGATTCATTTTTTACAAATATTTGTATTATTATTTTACAATATATCTACAAACACATTGAACAATTATCTTAAAATATATTGTATAAAATGTATGAATTTTCAAAGTTTTGGGAGTCTCAATCTTTATTAATGTGGTAATAAAATATTTACTTGATTGATTACCACAATTTACTGAAAAATTAACTTCTAAAAAAAAAGAATACAATGCGAAACCTATTTTACAATGGTATAAACTGTTTAATAATAAAATTCAATCTTAAAAAAAGATTATTATTGATAAAAAATATCCGTTAGGATATATTTACAAGATTATGAAAATATAAGATATATAATAAAAAAATTTCGTGTGTGTGGCTCTTGTGTGGATAACTATTTTACAATAAATTGTTAAAACTCAAATCTTTCATTTTAGTTCGTAGCACACATCTCATCCAATAAAGAAAGTCAAGTTTCAAATCCTGTATTTGATCATTCGGATATATATATAAATATATATATATATATACATTTAATTAAATTTTAAGATCCATACATTCTTTTTATATTCTTTGCATTCTTTGGGATCTCGATTTGTTAAGAGTTGAATAAATTGGTCTTCATTAATAAATGTCAAATTATTTTCGTCAGAATAATGATTATGAACATGAAAGTGAATTATCATTGCTGTTATTCTGAATATTCTGAATTGAATTATTTGTGGTGTGAGGTAAAGTGCAATTATGAGGAATGAATTTACGTAAATGTGATGCTTGACTAGGTGATGTTGAAGTAGCCATACTGAGAATAAAATATTTCAAGTTTGGTAGTGTATGCCTCAAGTCCGCTACAACTAATCCTTGTGAATTCATTAGCTAAAGAATAAAAAAATAATAATTAAGATAGATATATTGAAAAAATCGGAAAAAGTTTAGTAGTTTTGAAGTCAAAATAAAAAATAAATACCTGCTCAATATTTTTATTGAGCAAAAACACAGCCCATTCAAATCGAAAACGATCAACACCTTTAGAATATAAAGGAAATCTAAAAAAAAAAGGTAAATTAATAAATTTAAAAATCATTATTAGCATGGAATGGTAATGAAATTAAACAATAACCCATAACAAAAATTCTGATAATTACAAAGCTCCAAGTTGATTGTTAGTGAAAAAACCTTCACAAGTGTAAAAGTTTATAATAATCCAGTTAAGTAAGTTAAGTAACAAATTGAAAGGTAATCTTCAATCAAACATTCTGCATTAATTTTAAATATTTATTTATATGTAATATATTCAAGTCGTGTAACGTAATTACGTAAGGCGAAGGAAGTCAAGCAATCAACTTGGAGCAGTTTGACTTACTGTCTCGGGATTGATAAAGGTGATATCGGATCGTGTATTAATGATCTGGAAGACATAGGTGTCATTGGAAATTTTAAAGGAACTCCAAGATAATATGAAAGCATTTGTATGAGATGACACGTGAAACCTAGTGCTGTGCCTACAAGTTCTTCGTTACACCCTAAAATTGATAACGAAATATATTAAATATGTGACAATTGATTAATAAATTTAATAAATATAATATTTATTATTTATTACCAGTAAATACCGAATTAGGCAAGGAAACTCCAAGAATCTTGAAGGATAATGTCTCTGATTGTATCTAATAAAAAAAAAATTTTATATAGTAGTTGAAATCATGAGAAATCGTGAGAAATCATGAAAAATCATGAGAAATCCTGAAATAAAAATTTACACATACCGGCTCAATGGGATATATTGTGAGCAAGTCCGTGACAAGTTCCCTTTGACGAACATAGAGTTTTGATGATGTTATGTAGAGAGCTTCGCTATTTACATCAACCCTATTCAATACGACCCTCTGAAAAAAAAAAAAAAAAACAACAAAAAATTTCAAAAACCAATTCCAAAGTTAACAAAACGAACCGATCGCGTTCCAAAATCTTTTGGCTTTCCTCCAAATATTCATTCTCTGTTTGATATCGACGTTTTGCATCTTCTAAAGCAGTACGGCGAGAGCGAATATTTTCGCGTAAAGAAATTATGCGTTGGCGATCTTTGTAATATAATATTGAACTAATAATAAATAATTTGCTGTCGAATGATCTTGTAACATTAAAAACATTTGAGGTACATAAAGATTTTCATGACTCACCTTCATCAAGTGCATTCCTTTGGTCCGCAATTTCAGCTCGATATCGAGAAAGGCTCAACGAACTTGAACTTTTTTCTCTTTGCTAATATATTTATACATAATCCGCAAATTGTAAAATGGTTAAAAAATTATTTAGTGAATAGTATAATTTATAAAATACAGTAGAAAGAATTAAAAGCATAAATTACCAATACGAGTTTTGTTTTTTCTCGTTCCAAAATCTGTCCGATTTCGGTCATTATTTCATCCCGCGAGGTTTGCATGTCAATTAGACAATTCTCTATGTTGTTTAATCTGCTCTTTTTTAAAAATGCAGATTACTATTTTGTTAATAAATCTTAAATGAAAAGTAAAAATTCAGATCTAAATTCCAATATAAAAACTGACCGCATGATGGCATCATAGGTGTATGAACGTTTTGGCTGGTTGAACAATATATAATAATAAGTAAAGGTATAAATATACACATATTTAAGTCAAAATTAACTCACCACTTGCGGCGATGGAACTCGATTCAATTTTGATTGCTGACCGCCAACCATTTGGCATTGCGAAAATTTTTGAGAAATTGTAATTTTTCTCCGAAAGTATTATGGAAATACTATACTTATATAAAGAAAGAATTATGTCCTCGCCTAAATATCAAGATAATATTATTTGTGGACTTGAGGTGTGAGCCCTTGAAAAGTATATATAGGGCGCAACCATGCAAGCGTGTATAAATTTTTCCAGCAAAAAATTCGAAACAAAATTTTATATTGTTCGTATTCCCATTATTTCCGGAAAATGATATATGTAACATAAAATTATTTATTCGTTAAATGTTTTATTTTATAAAACGCCACAAAAAATAAGATTGCTCCTTTTTTTTCAAAGCTGATTATTATTTTTTCAAATACATTAAATCTCGTTTTAAAAAGTCCCATACAAAAGTTGTTCAGAGCGTAATAATGTAATAATTAGAATTCATTACAATAAATCAAATAAATGATGAGATGAAGTAATTCAAAATTTCTTTTTCTGACTAGAATTAAATTAAAATAAAGATAACTATCTCTTGATAAAAAAAAAATTAATTTGAAAGCAACTATTTCAAAAAATATCTTTATATTGGCAAGATAAATAATAGCTTGTATATTCTTTTTTGATAATGGTTAATTTTCTTTAGATATGATATTAAAATCTGCAAGATTCTTTAATAGAACTGCATAAAAATAACCTGTTTACGTTCAATCTATCAAATTAAATATATATTTTGTCTCTGGTTTATTTTTACATTAGACCCTAAAAAAATACCACAAGATTGGAACTAGTTCCTAAAAAGGAAACTGGATATTTAAAATCAAAATGTTCAGATTAAAAACAGATGATGTTCTTTTTATCTATTCACCTGATTTCATCTATAAGTATGATTAAAAAATTGACCAATAAATATTATTATTTTTTTCAAACCTTTTTCAAGTTAACAAGAAAAGTATTTATGGTTGTTTTCATACCTATATATTGATAAAGTGATAATATATTACAAAAAATAAACTTTACAGTTAAATTATTCTCTTGTATGTTAATACTTATAAATTATTAAGTGATGTTTTTTTTTTTATTAATTCCTGAGAATCTCTTGCAATTCTACAATTATACTACTCTAGTTCTTGAACATTTATTAAAAAATAAAATCATCAACGAAATGCCTGTACTTTTTCTGTAATGATACAACAAATCTCATTGAAAAAGGTGCAAAAAATTATTGAAATCTAAACCAAATATTTGTTTTTGTAGATAATGACATAATTGGAATTTGGGACAAGAATGTAATAACAAACCTAAATTAGTATGTGATTATTCATTCTTATTAAAGACCTAAAAACCAAAATGAAGTTTCCAATGTTTGCATTCAACTTTTAAGAATTAATAAGATCATAAGAATGAAAATTTTTCACATATCTTTGAAAGACAAAAGTAAGTATTTGCTTTTGAAGTGACTAATACTTTTTCAAAATAGTTAATTTAAAATGAAAGTGGTTTAAATATTTTGATTTAGGAACCAATTAAATTCTCCTTTACAAAGTTTTAAAGTTTTAAATTTGTATCTAATATAATAATATGCATTGTTAGTATATGTAACAGGTTATATTATATCCGTAGCAATTCATCTAAAATATCAATTATATAAGCAAATTAATAATTAAAATATAGTAGATCATATGCATAATATATGTAATATTATACCTTAATAATTTTCCAGATGTTGTACTCTAATGCAACTTAATATTTAGAAGTATTTTCCTCCTTATTTCTGGTAGCTGGAAGAATAATTAGTTAAATATTTATTTATATTAACGAATCTTCTCAGTTACAAAAATTATTAAGCTTTACTTGAGATGGATTTGATAAGATGTTATTAAAGAAAATATAACTAGAAATATTTATGATAATAAAACTTTAAAAAGGAAAATAAGGAATTCCAATCTGAATGGGAAAAGATGGATTTATTAGTTGGTGAATTTATTAATAATATTACAATATCAAATACTGAAAGCCAGAATATTTCATTATTAATACCAATTATGATTAGTGAAGTAATTAGATGAGATTCAATTTTTCCATATAATTTGCCATTACTATATTTATATTATAAAAAAAAACAATTGAAATTCTCATAATGTATGATGATAAGTATGATTTCAATTTCTACAAAGTATAACCAATAAATATTATTATTATTTTTTCAAGTTTATTGACAAGAAAAGTATTTACTCTCTTTTCTCAATAAAGTTTTATGGCTGTTTTCATATCTAGGTATTGATGGGAGATTTTCAGGAAAATATCAATTAATATTAATGTATAGAAATATAATTTAACTCTGCCACAAATTTTAGCAAGTTTGTAAAGTTTTCTTTCTTGTATTATACATTATTGATATATCAATTTTAAAAAAAATCAAGATATTTCTTGAATATTTAAAAGATGAAAACACTCGCACTTTTTATTAACTGGAATCAAGCTGGCTTTAATGATACGCCGGAGTTGTGGGACTGCGATTATTGCAAATCTCGTTGACAAAGGTGCAAAAAATTATCGAAATCTAAACCAAATATTCGTTTTTGCAGATGGTGACCTAATTGGAACTTGGAGCAAGAATGTAACGACAAACCTAAATTGATATGAGATTATTATATACATTTTATATTCTTTGACATCAGCTTTATACATTATCCTTTCTTATTTAAGGGCTAAACACTAGAACGGTATCCCCGATGTTTGCATCCAACTCTTAAGAGTCAATAAGATCACAGCCCACACCAGCAATGTCTATATCGAAGATTTTTCATATGTCTTCAAGTGAAAAAAAATAAGTATTTGTTTTTGAAGCGAGTGATTGTTATTTTTTCAAAATCATTATGGTTAATTTATCCCTTCAAAACGAAAGTGATTTGAATATCTTGATTTAGGCATCGTATTCAATATAATAAAATTTCGCGCGCGTACTATTAGCATATGCAAACTGACATGTATTAAATAATTACTTTTGAAATGGAGAATTTTATATAATATATATTCAAAAATAATTCTTTACAATAAATAATGTATTCACTTCCATATCGGATTTTGAAAAGTGTAAATTGTTATATTACGAGTACTTCGTGTATTGTTATTGAAGTTAATAGATGATATGTATGTTATGGTTACAGGTTATACCCGGAGAAATTATTCGAAACATCAATTGTACATATGTAAAAGTAAAAAATTAATGATCAGAATATAGAAGATCATGAAAAACAGGTCCATTTCTTCAATGGTCAGTGAAAATATAATAAAAAGATTTTTACTAGTCATGACTAAGAATTATCAATTTTAGTAAATTTGTTGCACAAGTGCAACATTGGGTAACAATTATGTAGATTCCAACTCAATAGTTAGTTTTTCCTCTACAAAAAAATGTCAGTATTACTTGTAGAAATATTTCGTATCGTTCTTGGAATTCTTTCTAAAGACAAGAAATCTCTACATTCTTGTCTTTTGGTTGATCGAACCTGGTGTGAAAGAGTCGTTTCCATTTTATGGAATGACCCCTTTCAATTTTTGAAAGAACCTTCCGCTGAGCTCATTCAGACATACATTTTATGTTTGTCAGAGTCCGATCGGGCAAATTTACAGGGATCAGGAATTAATTTAGAAAATACTCCTAAACATAAACCCACTTTTGATTATGCGGTTTTTTTGAGGCATCTCAAATACATCAATTTTTACGAGTCTTCTCTAGTTTGGCTAGAAAAAGTCATGGGACATTCAAATCACGGGTCTAAAGGGTTCTTGGTTACCAAAGAATTATGTAAACTTTTCATGAATCAAAGTCCAGCAATTCTATCTTTGAATATCAATACGGAAAATTTAAATCTTCCAGATAACATCGATTATGTGTCAATACCTTGTTTTTCTGGTGCTCTTAAGAGTTTATCTCAATTACAAGAATTCATGTGCTGTGGAACATATGATAAGAAAAAAATATTTAAGGCGATGTCACAATCTTGTAAAAATATTCGTAATTTAAGCGTAGATTATTACTTGGATGAACTTAGTACCGCAGCACCAACAGATTTGGCAAATCTTATTAAAAGTCAAAACGCTTTAGTTGAATTCAAACTTGTAACATGTTCAAGGTTTTTATCAAAAATCATACCAGCATTAAAGAAACAAGCCAAAACATTAACTAATGTCGAATTCCGGGGTGTTCTTTTTGAAGATTGTGTCTCGTTTGAAGCACTTTCGGCTTGTAGTAATTTAGAATCATTGATTTTTTTCCATTGCGATAATGTAATGAATGATGCACTTGAACCTTTATCAACTGCATATTTTCCAAAACTTCGAAAAATTGTGTTTCACATTTTTCATATGCCACCTCCATCATTGGGAGCTTTAATTTGTAATAACAGCGATACTTTACAAGAATTATTATTGGAATGGCCGCCATTAGATCAAGAAGATCCAAAAATTATTGAAATGATCATAGAACATTGTCCAAACATTATCAAATTTGACGCACATTTAAAAACGGATCAACTACGATCACTTTTAAGTGCATTGTCTCAATTAGAAGATTTGACGGTTCATAGTAGAGAACCTTTACTCGCTGATGGATTTTTACCTCAGTTGGGTCAGTTAATCCCTCCAAATTTGCGAATATTAAATGTTCGTGCTATCTGGTCATTTAATCCAGAATCTCTTAAGCAATTCCTTGATCATTGTATTGCTCCATTGGAATATATTGGCCTTCGTGAATGTTACGCTCTAACAGATGAACATCTTGAGGTTTTAGCTGCATACGCGGAGAAAGGGACATTAAAACATTTAAATATTAAAGTTGCAACCAGAATTACAAGAGAGGGCTTGATAAATGCTCGTAAAGTTATTGATCGAATCGAACATAATGAAGTATTGACAATGGAAAATAAATAATTTTAATTTCCTTAATTGGAGGGATGGATGGATGGAATGGTTAATTAGATTATTGTAAAATTACTAAAAAGAAAAAATAATTGCATTTTTTTAAAATTTTAATTAAAAAATAATGATGATGATTGATGTACGTCTTTAAATAGAACATTCTATAAATTATTCCGGACGTTCATTTCATGTACTATACTATATATATAATATATATATTAAATTATAAAAGTTTTATTTGTTATTAAAAATTTTGTCATAATTATGACAAGAGAATTTATTAAAGTTGTAATTACTCTTCACGTTCACATTTTTCAGTCCTGTGATCATAAAAAAGTTCGAATAAATTCCTTGATGCTAACTACATGAATAAAAAAAAAAATAATTCCAATTGATATTAATTGATTTAAGTCATACGAGAATTATTATTTTAATACAAATGACAAAAATTCTTTGTAATCTCTTTTCTTTTTCTTTTTTTTACATACTTTCATTCAATATATATATATATATCTATCTATCTATCTATTATAATAAAGTTCTAACAATTGGTCCAGAAGGACAAGGTGAATCCATACTTTCATCATCACTTCCATCATCTTTCTCTAATGATAACTCTTTCAAATTACCAGATAACATTTTCATTTCTCCGAATGATGCAATTGATGAAATCGGACTCATCATACTCAAAAGATCATTTACAATAATTCTAGCCGCTTGTTTTGCAGGAGATTTCAATAATCTCGATGGTGGCATAGAAAATTGAATTGTGACTGGGGGAGAGAAAATAGTTGGCTTTCGTAACTTCTGAATATCGGATGGAGGTAATGTCGGCAAAGTAATTGACGTTGAAGAAGTAGCAAGAGAATTATTATCACCAAAATTTAATGATTGCATAGCTTTATGAGAATATTGAGGTGGATTTGGTAATGGAGTCGAAGAGATGGAATCATAATTCTCCATTATTTTCGAATCTTGAGGCGGATTTGGTAATGGAATCGAAGAGATAGAATCGTAATTATTCATCATTTTCGAACTGGGAGGTGGATTTTGTAACGGAGGTGAAGAGATAAATTCATAATTCTCCATCGTTTTCGAACCTTGAGGTGGAGTCGAAGAGATAAATTCATAATTCTCCATCGTTTTCGAACCTTGAGGTGGAGTCGAAGAGATAAACTCGTAATTATTCATCGATTTCGAATCTTCGAAAAGTTTTTTTTTGGAATTAATATATTCCATGGAGGCTGGAGAAGAACTATCATTTGAAGCCGTTAAATCTATTGACTCAAGAAAAGACCACCATAACTTTGAATTTTCCCAAATATCCTCCGAAACTTCTGCGAAACGCGATATTTGTGGTAATATTTTGGTAGTTATTATATGTTGACACGTGGAGAAATTATTATCTATTTCTTGAAGGGTTAAAGTAATATTTTGATCCAACTTTTCAAGACGTGCAGTTAATTCGTCAACTGAATAAAAAGTCATTTTATATAACTTTAATAATTACGCGATAAAAAAAAAAAAAAAATAAACAAATAAATACATTATCTGATGATCTCGTGACTTGGATTTTTTGATTGGAAGATAATAATTTTTAAAAACTTTAAAAAAAAAATTTTTAGATAAAAAAAAATGACTTCGGATTTTTCCGCCAAATCTAGAAAACGCAAATCCGTTTCTTCTGAGATTAATTCAAATGATGGAAAAAAGAAGAAAATTGACAATGGTGACGCGCGATTTAAAAAAGGCAATAATAATAAAAAATTGAAAGACGAAGATTCACTAAGTAGTGAAGAGATCAGTTCGGATGACTTGGGTTTTGAAAACGAAAGTGATCAAGAAATCCTCAGTGACGAAGGAGAAAACGAAACACCAACTGAAAAGAGACTTAGACTTGCCAAAAAATATATTGAAACTATTAAGGAAGGATTAGGTAATATTCAATTTTACCACTAGATGATATTTTGTCATTAAATAAGAATTCAATATATATATATATAATGCGCATATTAATTTTCAATTTATTATATTAGATGATGTAGAATTTGATGCTGCAGAAATTGACAGAGATCTAATTGCCGAAAGACTTCAGAAAGATGCGGTTGGTAATAAAGAAATTTTTATCGTTATATATATATTAAATTTTTACTCATTTATGATATTTGTTATTTATTTAGCGTGAACAAACGGGAAGAACTTATCGTACAATAGCAGACACGGTGAGTGGTATATATATATATATATATATATTCTCTATATTCTCTATTATTTTATTTTTTTTTTTAATTAATATGAAAATCCTAAAATTGTATTAAAAAAATTTTTAATAGTTTTCATTTCCTATTGTTCTCTCCACTATAAAATCTGGTCGTCAAGAACTTTCTATTACATGTGTAGCATGTGATGAATCCGGGCAATTCTTTTATACAGGATCTAAGGATCATTCTATAATAAAATGTATGTTTTTTAAAAAAAATTTTTAGCATTTTAAATAGATTATAATTTGTATTGAATTCTCTCATCATAAATTTTCTTAAATATATTTTTAAGGGGATGTTAAAACCGGTAAAAAATTACACTCTATTATTGGGGGTAGAAAAGAAATAAAAAAATTCGATGGTCACACGAATCAAATTTTAGCTTTGGCTGTGAGCTCGGATGGAAATTATCTGGTAAATTTTTTATATTTATTTAAATATTAGTAAATATTAATATCATAAATAATAAAATAAATAATTTTGATATATTTATATACAGGCAAGTGGAGGCAGGGATAAGAAGATTAATATTTGGTCTACAAAGGAAAATAAGTTATTAAAATGTTTTATGCAACATAAAGATTCAGTAACGGTATATATCTCTTATATTTTTTAAAAGAGCACTAGATATCCTAGAAATTAATTTATCATTTTTTCAATTTAATAGGGACTCATATTTCGTAAAGGAAATAATCAACTATATAGCTCTTCTTTAGATCGTACAATAAAGCTTTGGAATGTTGATGAAATGAGTTATATAGAAACACTGTAAATACTTTTGTAATTCTAATATATATATATATATATGTTGTGCCTCAGATGTCTTATGTCAACTGACCAGGGTTAGGGTTGGCTGAAGTTGTAACGATCTACATAGGATCTACATAAGCCAGTTCTATAATTCTAGTCAAAGGGTGACACCTGAGTCAAAGATGACATCTCAGTTACAACATATATATAATGATTAATAGTGCGTTTTTTTATAATAATAACTTTTGAATTTAGATTTGGACATCAAGACCAAGTTATGGCAATTGATACTCTTTATCGTGAACGTTGTGTTACTGTTGGGGCACGAGATCGAACGTGTAGGTTATGGAAGATAATTGAGGAATCTCAATTAGTTTTTCGTGGCGTTACTAAGGAAGCGACATCAGATAACGGACAAATATTTAAGGAAGGAAGTTTGGATGTTGTGGCTATGATTGACGAAGATAATTACCTCAGTGGAGGGGATAGTGGGTAAGCAAATCTTTATAATTATTTTTACATTTCATTTAAATTTATATTAATTTATTTTAATTTTTTTTGTCACATTTTCAAGGGCTATATGTTTATGGAACATTAACAAAAAGAAACCAGTTTTTGTAAATCAACTTTCACATGGTTTACAAGAGTTTGAATCGGAAAGCGAAGGTTCCATTAAATCTCCGCATTGGATTACCGCTTTGGCTACCTTGCGGTATTCGGATCTTTTTGCTTCAGGATCATGGGATGGAAAAATTCGTCTTTGGAAATTGACAAATAATATTCGTTCTTTTACACTTTTAACTGAAATTCCTATGATAGGATTTGTTAACGCTTTGGAATTTATAACTACAACTATTGATAATAAGACATTTCTTTTGGCAGGTATTGGTCAAGAACATAAATTAGGCAGGTGGAAAAAAATTAAAAAGGCCAAGAATGGTTGGCGACTTATCGAGTTATCACTTAAGAAACAATCGCAAAATGGGATATAATATTTAATTTTTTTTTTTTTGTTGATTATTTAAAAATTGTTCAAAAAAAAAAAATCATTGTATTTAATGAAAATAATTATTTTAATGATTAATTGAATTTTGTATTAATTTTTCTTGGTTGACCATTATTTAGTTCAAAATAATGGTTATGGTATCTCGATGGATGTTATAGCCAATACCCTTATATTATTGACAAAAAAAAGGGCTTTCTCATAAATATGATTGAAAAGCTCACTCTCTCTCTCAAGCAAACGAAAACCCACATATCAAATATATTTAATTTATCAAGTGTTCAAAGTTTTTATAACACAGCGAATGACTTATCGAAATCTTAGTCTTTACAATCTTTATGACTTTGGTTTTAAACCTTTCGCTAAAATCAAAATTCTTCTTCGCAGATCATATAAGCTAAATTTCTATTGCTATTATGATTTGTAAAGAAGAAACAATTCGTATTATGTATAAATTATATATATATGATATAATTTCTTCATTGGATCAAATCCGTGGAAATCCGAAAATTTCGAAATGAATTAATTAAAGAATTATTAAATAATTAATTAAAAAATATAAAAAAAAATCATGTATTGAAAGTTTTTTAAAAATAAATTTATAAAAGTAAATATCATTGATATTTAATTCAAATAAAACAAATATATTATTGATTTGCACGATCGAGGGAGGATAAAATGCTTATTGCTACTCTCATTACGTTTATTGATTATATGGTTCTAACATTGCTAATGTTTTTTGAATATTCTCTACGGCAGTTTTAACATCATTATAATTTAATGCACTTATGGCCCATTTACAATGCTTTTGAGCTTGAGATACAGTATTTGGATCAATATCAACATAATTTTGAGATTGTAATGATGATTTCGAATAACCCATAAATTGTTGATTATTATGATGAGATTCTGGAATTGTCGGTTGATAAGATGTGGTTATACCATAATTTGGTTGCTGTAATTGTGGTTGATGTAGCTGAGGTTGCGATTGTGGTGGCGGTGGTTGTGATTGTGGTGGTGGTGGTTGTGATTGTGGTGGTGGTTGTGAAATGTGAGAAGGAAAATGAGAAGGAGGGGGAGGAAGAGGTGGTGCTGTTGGTTGATGAATTAAGTCATTATATACTATTGGTGTTGATGGTTGTGGATTATTTTGAGCCATGTCATAATATTGTGGTCCCGTTTGCGTTTGGAAATTTATTGGTTGCTGAAATGATGAATTATTAATGTTCGGGAAAGAACCTCCGGAAAATTCATTACCTTTAGGTGGAATATTTGGCGGTATTTGTTGATTATTATTTAAATCCATTTGATTTAAAGATGAAGTCAAATCATGAACACCAGAGTGTAAATCTGAATTTGGAGGAGAAACATTATGATAAACAGAATTTGGTGTTGAATGATATGTAGGAAAGGGTGATTGAGAATCTATCGTTGAACTATCTAATGAAGTATCCGAAGGAAGCTGGTCAATGCCAGGAATATTATCAACGGATTCATCTGATAGAGAATCTGCTTCACCTCCAGGAGGACCAGGTGTAGGAATTTGACCATCTTTCAATGCTTTTATAATTTGAGTTGCTTTCCATTTTGAATATTTGATTTTTTCCTGATTCTGAAAATGATTAATTAAACAAAATATTATAAATGATTATAATAATTGTAATTATTGTCTTGTTAAATGAAATAGAAAAAAAAGAAAAAAGGAAATTTACTTCAGAACTTAATTCCCCAAATATTTTTAATAATTCCAGAAAAATAGCTGCTGCGAGAAAATTCTTTGCGGTTTTTCTATAAAATAAAATAAGGTTTAATAAAAATTCTTTTAAAATAATTCCTTATGAAAAGGATTATTCAATGAGACAACAATGGGACTTAATAATAACCTTGATGCTTTTCCTGCTCGATCTTCGTTATCCGCATTTAAAAATACTTTTAATGCGAAATTTTCTACATACGCTTCGCCAGCGATATCATTTGTAACTGCCTCATTGTCACCAAGATTTTTTTTTTCCTAAAAAAATAAAAAATAAAATATATTATAATAAATATGAGAATTATAATAATAATATATGATAGATATGTTAAAAAAAAAGTTATTTTACTTGTTCTAATAAATCTAATAATTTGGCGAGATATGCTTTACTCTCTTTTGCCTTTGTACCCTTTTCAAGAGCAAGTTTCGCGGAATAATAGTTGCCTATTGTTTAGTTCAAAATCTTTCATAAATAAAATAATTAACATTTTCACAGGTTGCAGCGGGATCAGGTCATATATCTTACAATAATACGCTATTACTGGTTCTCTTTTTTGAAGTTCTTGTGCACGCTGAAGAAATGTATTGATAAATTTAAGTTCTTCTGGCAACGACATATCCATTGATTTTAACTTTTGTTAAAAGTTACTAGCAATGACAGAAATTCCCTTTTGATGATCATGTTACACAAAATTTTCATATAGAATATATATTTTTCAGTTAGTCTATAGGTGTCACTTGATACCAAAACTATTGGTATAATAATAAAGTAACTAGAGTATATTTCAATCGTTTTTCTAACGAAATGTGATTGAGCATCTGTGAGCATCTGTCGATTTAAGTAGGTTACTTTAGAGACAAAAATTTATGAAACAGTTTATAAAAACAATATACTTTTTATTTTATAATATTTTTTTTTTTTTTATTTTTTTTTTTAATCTTTTTTAAAAAATTATTATTTGTATTTTTTATATTCAGGTTGAGAGTTATATAACATAATATGATGATTTTAGCCAATTACAATTTATGTCAATTATCTAAGTTATTACTAATTAAAGAAAACTTTTGTCATGTTAAAGTTACCATTAATCATTTTTATATTTTCAATTTCTGATTTCACACAACAAAGGCTATTTTTAACAAGCATCTTTAATCTAGACTCCAGGTTTAGAATTTTATTCTAGACACAAAAGGTTCATGCAAAATTTTATTAAGCTGATAAATATTGAATGACAAATATAATTTTTATATATATAAAATTCTAAGTCTTTCAAGATATTTAATAAAAATCAATATTCAAAAGATGTAATACATGGTGATAAATATTCTGTCTCTAATAAACCTTAACTCTACCTTATATATTATAGAACTTAATTTTATTATATTATTATCTTTTATTATCTTTATTTATTTTTATTATTTTATATATTTATTTAATTAGTTAGATATAATTAGTAGATTTAAATAGATTATATATGTATGACAAGTAATTCATCCAGGTAAACAATCAGGTAAATTACTTGAATAATTTACCTATTGTATATAATAAGTAGATCATCAGGTTAATTACTTCCTATCAAAATTAATATAACTGTAAATTAGTAGATCACATATATGGGTCAAATATAAAAGATATACTGTACTATACATTATACATGTCATCCAAATTCAAAATAATTTGAAATTTGGATAATAGAATAGATCCAAATTATTTGGACTTCAAAGGTCAAAAAAGTCCAAAGCTCAAAATATTTTTGGCAGAGGAAAAAATATTTGAAACCAATTACTTATTTAAAATTTGTGACATAATTATTTTTTATTAAATTTTTTTTTTTTAATCTTTGCTTTTTTTTTTAAAAAAAAAAAATAAAACTAAACTTATATATCCTTTGCCTTAATAA